TTGGATTTAGTCATCAGGAGTAACTAGTGCTCTTTGTGAGTGCAAACTTCGCAGAATGATGGGAACAAAAATGAGTTAGCAGAGGCAAAAGTAAGGTAAAGAAATGAAAAAGTAAGTGAAGACCTTGCTCAAGAAATTCAACTGCTAAAGGAAGATAATAGCTAGTCCCTAGAAGACAGTGGCTGGCACACTGTGAGTACTTAATAAATGCTTACTGACTGAACAAGCAAACAAATGAATAAGTAAGTATAGCAGTGTCAAGAGCTGTATGTTGAGGGAAAGAGGGTCTTGAGAGAGACTTTTTTACGGAAGGCTGGGGGGGGGGCCGGTAAGGCAACAAGTTTCAAAGAAGAAGAAAGTTTAAACAGGCCTCCAAGTGAATATAATTTTTTTAATTGGATGGGAAAGCAGGAAGGAAGATTGAGAATAAAAATAAAGGCAGAGAAACTAGCAACCACCACCGTCTTCCACTCTGGCCCTAAAACAAGAACAAAAAAAAAAAAAGCTGGAAGTCAAAGCAGAAACATTCAGAGGTTGGATGAACAGAAAATGGGAGGGAAGAAAGCTTCTATTCTCTTATTATAATAGTAAACACGATGTGAAAAGAGCTGGGTTTAAAGATCTTTCCTTCTAGCCCAAATATAGTCAAAGCTAAAGTAAAAACGGTAAAGATAGAAACTGAGGGAGTGGAAACGCCTAGAAAATGCTGAAGGCAAGTTCACTAAGGACAGATCATATCCCTATGGAGACTGGGCAATTTCAAAGGTAAAGTTCCCAAGATATATTTTTACAAAAGAATAAATTTAAATTGTGTGGGCTTCGCGTTACCAGGAAAACACTAAGTACATATCAACAAATGACATGAGTAGGGGGTAAACAAAGAGCCTGTAAGAAAAGATACTGAAAGATTTATAGAAACACAACGTAACAAAAGGGCTCCAAAAGCTATCAAGATAAATACCAATACACGGAGTATATTTTGTAATATGGACAAGGTCTCATTGAGATGTTTTATTAAGCAACACAATTTACAAGGCTCTCTGCAAGTGAGCTAAAAAACTTGAGAGCACAAGTAACATTCCTCTGTAATAAAAATAAAGTACTCCTCATTTTTACTCCTTCAATACATGCACTGAAAAAAGAGTAATTAAGAATTTTAAAAAATGGAGGAAGATGGGCACAGATGTTAGCCCAGGGCCAGTCTTCCCCGGCAAAAGAGAGGAGGATTGGTGTGGATGTTAGCTCAGGGCTGATCTTCCCCAAAAAAAAAAAAAAAAAAAGAATTTTAAAATAATGGGGAAAAATGGTAATCAAGACTTAGGGTTAATGAATCAATACAAAATAAAAAAGAAACGCTAAAGTATTTGTAAAGGTAAAAAAAAGGTGGCCTTTTCCAAAAATTTGAGAATTACCTGACAATAAACCCAAGATCAAAGACATTTAATCTGACCATGAACCACATTATAAAAAAGAATTTTGATTCAAATTTAAGGTGAATAACTCTATTTATATGCTAACAAAAAATCAAAATAAGTTTTGGCAGATAAATTATTTTCTTTTAAAAATAAGCATACAGCAATTCTAACAGTTATAATATGGTAGATGCCTACAAATTGACTTACACACATACAACATATATATATATAAATAATTGATATAAATACAGAATATACAGTATCAGTTGATAAGTAACCTTGAGGCAAAACTTAATAAGTAGTTACACTTTACAGAGTCACAAAAAAAGGGAACAATTTCATTTAATTACTTGACTGGGCTCAAAGATTAAATCATGGTTCCACATTTACTAATAAAAGATTAAAAAAAAAAAATAGAACTAACCAAAACTAAGTATAGTCTTTGAAAATCAGAAACGTGATTTTCATGAAATGTTGGCAGTGGTGGTAGGGAAAACAGAGAGTAGAACTATATGTGCAGTGAAAGTACTTCTCTTACTTCTATAAATAAATACTTCCAATCATTTTTTATATCAAAGAAATTCTCATAAAATATCATATGAATAAGGAACACACACAAATACTATAAAATATTCATATGAATAAGGAATAAATCACATTGTGATCTTCACTTTCCCTAATCTGAATTAAGAGTCAGAGTTAATAAGAACGAACTTCAAAGTTTTATTTATTTATTTATTTTTTGTGAGGAAGATCGGCCCTGAGCTAACATCTGCCAATCCTCCTCTTTTTGCTGAGGAAGACTGGCCCTGAGCTAACATCCATGCCCATCTTCCTCCACTTTATATGGGACGCCGCCACAGCATGGCTTGCCAGGCGGTGCGTCGGTGCGCGCCTGGGATCCAAACCAGCGAACCCTGAGCCTCCGCAGCAAAATGCGCGCACTTAACCGCTTGCGCCACAGGGCCGGCCCCAAACAAACTTCAAAAACTAAAAATTCCAGGGGGGCCGGCCCAGTGGCGTAGTGGTTAAGTTCACGCATCCCGCTTCAGCGGCCTGGGGTTCACAGGTTCAAATTCCAGGCGCAGACCGACACACCACTCATCAAGCCATGTTGTGGTGGCGTCCCATATACAAAACAGAAGAAGATGGGCACAGATGTTATTAGCTCAGGGCTAATCTTCCTCAGCAAAAAGAGGCCGATTGACAACAGACGTTAGCTCATGGCCAAGCTTCCTCACAAAAGAAAAAAAAAATCCAAAGTATAGCTAAACTAACATAAGGGGATAGAAGTCAGTTTAGTGGTTGCCTGTGGGAGGCCTGGCTCGAAACTGGCACAATGAAACTTCCTAGGATGACAGAAATGCTCTGTATATCTTCAACAGGGTGTTGGTGTCACAGTACAGACATTCACCAAGACACACAAAACTCATATCTGTAAATTATTCTCTGTAATTAGATCTCATTTTTTTTAAAAAAAAGTAAAAAAATCATAATGCCAAGGTATAAACAAGAGTTGAATTATATGGAACATAGCTACCACCACAGGAAACAGGATATGCTTAAATCCGAAGAAAAAGCAACCTCAATAGACAACTGATGTGATTACTTAACTATTCATCTCAAAATGCCTTAGCATCCAATACTACTCAAAATGAATTAATTATTTTTGGCAAATATTCTCAAAAAGTAATTCATTTATACTCAATAATACTGCACAATGGATCAATTTTGTGTATTTTGTATTTACTCAGTAGTATATGTAGCAACCAACACACTACAACTACAACAGGAAGCTAAATTCCTTAAGATCAGAAAGATACTCAAGGCAGGGCTGCTGAGGGTCTTACACAATGAACAAATGGACTAACACTACTACTAACTGACGAGCTAACATTACTGAGAGTTTAAGATGAGCCAGGGACTGTCCACTCACTCGATGCTCACAGCAACCCACAGAAGCAGGCGCTGCTCCTTCCCACTTCACCAAGGAAGAGGCGAAGGTGCCTGAGGGTAAGGATCCTGTCAAGACCACCAAGGTCTACCTCTGGGTCCTGAACGTGTTGTACCTCCATAACCCATTACAAACCCAATTTACCTTTTCAAATGACACGTCACATTTTCTTAAAGGCAACTTAAGAGACAACATCATGAAATCTATTACCGCAGTGACCACAGAGACGTCATTAAGAACACTGCCTTAGGGCCGGCTCCGTGGCTTAGCGGTTAAGTGCGCGCGCTCTGATGCTGGCGGCCCGGGTTCGGATCCCGGGCGCGCCCCAAGGCACCACTTCTCCGTCCAGCGCGAGGCCGAGTCCCACGTACAGCAACTAGAAGGATGTGAACCTATGACATACGACTATCTGCTGGGGCTTTGGGGGGAAAAAAATGAATAAATAAAATCTTTAAAAAAAAAAAAGAACACTGCCTTATATGAAGCATTCAAAAAGCTCTGCTTCCTTGATGTCACAAGCAAATTTTCTCCTCACGAATCTTGAAAATACATAAAATATCATATTTCCTTTTATGCCCTAGCCAGCAAAAAACTCAAAAGCTAATTTGACTGAACTAAATAAATCATGCTTGACTTTATAGCCTGAAGATCTCTATTTTTTTCCTTTGAATGTTTTTAATCTTTAATTTTTAAAAACATTTAAATCTCTGCTCCATTTAGAATTTACTTTGGCACAAATATGTCTTCAGTATAGAAGTTTTACTTTCTTTAACCAAATCTACGTATTTTTTTTTAATAACCCACTCCCCCCACCATTCTATTCTATTCTTTCTACTCTTACCTCACCCCAGCCACGCCAATTTTTGTGTTCTTTTTGTTTGTGTCTGATTCTGAGGTATGTATACATATCACTGAGGTTCAACTACACATATTTGTGTATTTAGCCTTCATATTAACTAAGTCATTTCCAAGGACATAAGAAAAAGTAGTATAATCCCAGTGTAAATGATAAAGCCAGGAGAAATAATCATTTTTACATTAGCAGTCAACTTTAAGGGTTAGAAAGTATGCTTTTGAGAATTTAAGATGGTCATACTGGAAAAATGGCAAAACCTTAAAATTATAAATTTGTCTCTAACAAAGCTAACCCACTTGAAACAAATCCAAATCAGTCATTAGAACATTTGCTAACTATGCTGTCTTCTAACTATTAGGCCCTGTCTGAAAATCAAGAATATCTCTGCAGGGAAGGGAAATCCTGCAAGTCCGTTCCCAGGCTGGCAGGGGTTTATCCTTTACCTCTACCCAGGCTCCCTCTGCTGACAGGAAAACAAAACAGACTACGGAATTATACTGGCAAATTTCATCAACACAAGGGAAACGAATTCATTTTTTAAATACTGCAAAATCAATATTTTAGATAAAAGTAGATTAAAAACTGACTTTAATATAGACCCAAGAAGAAATAAACATCCAGGAACTGACAATTCAAATAACACTCAAATTTTATACGTGGCACATGCCATTTCGACATACTACTTTTAAATGTTAATTCTCGGATGCAAGAAGCATTAAAGATTTTAAATTCACTTTAAATATTTTTAATAATTTCTCGGTAAGGAAATGTTTACCTGTATCTGTTCCGGTGTCCATTGGTCTAGGTTGACTGACTTGACCCTGGATATATGAACTCCAAGATTTCTATGGATTCCAGCACATCTGATGCAAATAAACACACCAATATTCCAGGAAGCCCATCGGGGACCTAATTAAGAAGATGAAACAAAGAAAAGTAAATATTAAAAACCAAAATAAACATCATGACAGAATAGTAGAAGCATTCTGGTTTTTTATACAATTATAATGGAGGCTTACAGAATTTATGTGCTCAAATTTTCAAACGGTACCAACAGTGGCTTGCTAAGAAGACACGTGGGTTGGCTGTGCTGAAAGGTTATAAATCAACCTTCAGCAACCTTAATAATATTTACAAATTTTGCTTTCCTAGAAACCTTCCCCCAAATCTAAGAATTTAGAAGTAATTTATATGTGAACAGTTTTTTCACGCAGCATACTTGAACCAGGAGTAGCAATATCCTGCAGTGAAAAGTAAGCTCTTTATTAAATGTGTAAGATAGTGCTCAAAAAATCACCAACAAATAAAAGTCAAACAAAGAGATTTTAAAAAATGAAACGCAGAAATTAGTAAGAAAAAGACAACCAACCTAACAGAAAATTGGGCAAAAAGACATGAATGGGTAATTCACAGAAGAAATGCACAGCCAATAAACATATGAAAACAGGCACAACCTCAAGGTAATCAGGGAAAATGCCCTGTAAAATCAATGACCCCATTTTGCACTCAATACAAAACTTGAAAAGTTGGAAACTTTTTTTAAATTGATTAATACTAAGTGTTGGCAAAATTTAGTAACAAGGAAACAACAAGGACTGCCTCAAGAAGCCTTATATCAACATGGATAAATCTCAAATCTAACCCGGAGACTAAGAAAGGTTACAGATGAACTGAGGCCTGCTATAAAATGTTAGGTTCTTTGGGTCATGGCCAAAAAACTCTGAGAAACACTGTAGAGAAACTCATACAAGCATACAAGAATACAAGCCTTAGCCTTACTATTCTTCATACCTCTGAATGTATTCTTTCATGCTAATTTAAAATGTTCTTATGATTATTTTCACATATTGCTTGTATAATGAAAAAATAAAAGTAGTATCCAGAAATTATGTCACATGTTCAGAAGCTTGTACCTCACAGATTCCTATAAATCACTTGATTATGAAAAAAATATACACAGTAAGAGAGATCAAGAAAACCAAGCTTTTTTAAAAAATTTAGGCTTCTGTTTCAAGCACATACTTTTTATCTAAAGGTGAAAGTTAATCTACAAAATAACACTGAAGCAAGTAATTACAATGCAGTAAATAAAACTAAATACATCCCCCCCCAAATTCCTTAATTACACAGGAGGTAGACTATGCATATACAATTTATGCCAAAATCCTGCTTTTAAATTTGAGGAATGACACCTATAAACTGACAAACATCTGGGACATACATGCCCTGTTTAAATATCTGTTTGACTGCTAATGGTGTCAAAATGAATTAGAGGCCAAAGACCTGGACTGTCAAGCCCCCTGCCACCTTTCAGCTGCATAAATCGCCCTCGACTAACAACACATGGAGCAACGAGGTTCTCACCTGTCAAAGGAGTGAGGACTGGCTGCCCTCAGCACCTAGGTGAGACTTGTAAGAAAAATATTTTGAAAGTTTTAAAGCACTACTTAAGTGCAAGTAACCCTCATATGAAGAAATTTTGCAACACTTCTCTAGAGAAGTTTCTGCATTGGTCTGCAAAACAACTGTATCTTATCTTTCCTCAAGAACAACTCCCAAAAGGGCAGGGAGTCCACAGCATGATGGGAAAACAAGATTTTCAATGCACTCTATGTGTGGTTTCATTTTTGCTCTTAAAATAGAATGACTCCCCTCAGAATATCTGCTAGACCCACAGCCAAATACAAATGCAGACTTTTCTCCATAGCACAGTTTTCCTGAAGCAGCAAATGCAGTGACTGAATGGACTAATTAGGAAGCATCACTTGCACAACGTGACAGTGACTGCCCCTGCAGGTAAAAAGCTGCAGCATCCAAGACAGTGGTGCACTTTTACAATACCCACAGATGATAAAGGGAGTAAAATGTACAAAAGCATCACACAATAATAATGCTGCAGTAATAGGAAAAAATGGCTACATTACTATAAAGCAAAGCTAGATGTAATTAAATGTTAGGTGATGCCCAGGTTTTACACAATTTAAGGCTATAAAAACCATTTTATGATTCCTGCAACAACAACAACAAAAACTGTGCATTCCTTACGAGAAACTTTAACCCAATGACTTTTCACACATTGAAACAATAATGTAATTCTGTCAATGCATTTTTCTTTGGAAAATAACTATCATATCTTAACAATACAGTTGGGAACCCCCAAAAATAGATTTTTAAAAGCCTAACTGAAACTACAAATGGACTGATTATCTGCTCTATAAAATCAGCCTTACAAATTTACCTAAAATTGCCTTGATAAAACAGTAGCTGTTCAACATAACTGTCCTTCAATTATTGGTAGGAAATCCTCATTTTTATTTGCCCAACTATTCAGTGAATACTTACCAACTCTGTGCCAAGTAAATGCTGTTAAAAGACCACAGACACAAAGGCAGAAAGCCAAGTTCCCAGATGCAGGAGGCCAAGCCAGGTGTAAACAAGTATAACCACGTAAAACCAATCTGTGAAATCCAGTCAAGTTCTAGATGAATAAACCCTTATACCAGACAATCTATTCACATTCTCTGTCTCACACACACACATGCTTACACACACATACCTATGTTTGTAAGTCTATATGTTATATGACATATCTTTATACACATACACACTCACATAAGACACCCTAAAGATATATTTTAAATGGTAGATCACAGTTCATTAATTTAAACTCAACAAGTATTTATTTTTAGAAGAGAATGAAAAAATAAGATACAGGTGTATCACATGAAGGAAAAATATAATTTTGCTAAACTTTTTAAAAAAAATCAGTAACATATGTATATATGTGTATAGACACACATACACACACAAACTGAGTCATTGTAAAATGTTGTTCCTCTGGGTCATGGTGGAAAAAGGCTGAAAAACACTAGAAAGAAACTCATACACGCCTTCAAGAAGCCATACACCAAAATATTTATAGCAGTGTGGTTCCTAAAACAATTGGAAATAACTTCAATGTTCACCAGTATGTTTATCTCACCATACAACGGAATACTACACGACCATGAAAATGAATAAACTGCACATATCAACGTGGATAAATCTGAACTATAACAGAGAGTAATCAATTTTAGCATAGTGTGATATATACATAAAGGGCAATGGGGACCCCAACTAAGGAGACACAGTCAGCTGGAAGGCACGCGGGTCTCACAGAGGAGGCAAAGCCTAAGTAAAATCTAGAGGCTGACTCCTAGGCAGTAGGCACAGATTATGCCAAGACACATTCTTGGCAAAGGCTAAAAAAGGTGCGGTATGGGAGAGGACCTTGGTACAGCCGAAGGGTAGAGTATGAGAGTATTTGGGGAAACTTTCAGGAGATGATGGGAGGAGGCCACACAACAAAAGGCCTTATATGGCAGGCTCACTAGTTTACCCTGGCCCCCACAGAGAAGGCCCCTAACACCTCTTCCAAGCCCACTACGGTACTCCCACTCACTACGATGATTACCCATGTCCTCTCATGCCTTCGTCTGCTGCTTCCTCTGCCCTGAGTGTTTTTCATCAGCTCTTTACATGCCTGGCTCACTTTGTCCTGTGGGCCTCAGTTCACAGGAGGACTTCCTGCCTGCTCACAGAGGACTTCCATGAGGACTCTACTAGAGGTGCATCTCCCAGGTTACTTCCATCATTTATAACACTCATAACAATCTATTTTGAAGTTGACACAAAAACCTAAGGTAACCAAATAGATGAAGACAAACAGATTAATAGCTGAAGGATTTAATGATTTTAGCAGCTAAGTCTTAAAACTAAGAAAGGTTAAAGAAATGTACAGTCACTTCTAGAGGAGTGTCTCTCAAACTCTAATGTGCATGCACACCCCTAGGGATATAATGAAAATGCAGATGCTATCTCTGCAGCCCTGGAGTGGAATCTGAGATTCTGCATTCCTAACAAGGACCAGTGATGTCCATGCTGCCATCCACAAACCGCATTTTGAATAGCAAGATTCTAGATTATTCTTGACATGGTCTTTAACTCCAGCATTCAGCTTACTTCCTGATCTGCTTTCACTATTCTTATTGAGTATGCAACTTAAACTGTGAAAATTTATTTTAACAAACTAGGAAGTAAATCTGTTGAGAAAAAAATTCAAAGCTTATTTTGAATTCAAATGTCAGGTTATCTTGAGTTATCCACATCACTATCTCACTAAAAACAACACGAATAAGCTAGCATCAACTAAACTAATATGAGTAATTTCATCATCACAATCACACTAAAGCAAGGCTCTAGTAACAGGAGAGACGCTGACATTTGGCCTCGCTAATGTTAGCACCCTGACCGTCCCCATCATCAGTGAATACCTAGGGAACACTGATAATCCAACACACCATATTAGAGGACTGATAAATGTAGCAGCAATAAGAACAGAAATGAACAAATGTGAGAATCACCAAGAAGAACCGACAGGACTTAGTGATTAGGAAACACAGGGAAAAGGGAGAGATAAGATGTCTGAACTTCTGCTTTCTATTTGGGATTTAAAGCATAAAGGTACTTGCAGAGTCAGAAAACTGTGGAGATCTGCTGTATGCTTTAAATGATAGCAACATATCAAGATAAAAATGTCCAGTAAGCACTTAGAAATATAGAACTAAAGTTCAAACTGGAATATATATATGAGCATCTTCTTCAAGACAACAGCTACAGCCCCAAAAACAAAAAAGAGCCAAAAAAGCAGAGTACGAAGTCTTAGGGAGAAAATGAAAGGCAGTGCAAAATCAGAGAAGGCTAAAGTTTTAAAGAAAAGATGGTCAACAATGTCGAAAATCTGACAGAAGTCAAGAAGAATGGGGCTAGGAAAGAACAAATGGATGTGTTAACTGAGAGGTCACAGATAACCTCACGGAAAGCAGGCAGGAGGGAGGGAGGGAATTCACCCATTCTGAATTCCATTATCA